TAGTAAAATATGATCTTGCTTATAGAGGTACAAATAAATAGGGCAAATACCAAAGGAGAAGACATCTCCTGCAAATAATACTTTAGAACAGAGGTCTTTGGGTGGTCCGTTGTTTCAGACCAAATTAAAGGTCTAAGCGAATTGTTTAGGTTCTAACAATGTTGAATTAGATAAGAGGGTGTTTTTAATCAAATGTTGAAAAAAGGCTAATTTTCAGTTATATAATATCAATTCAGTAATTAACATAGTGTTTCCAAATTAAGAAGATTTTAAGAGGGAAATGAGAAGGCTCACCCATCAAAACCAACACTGTGCAATCATTGTATTTAGAGTAGAGTCTTGCTTATCTAACCTTCGCTCATCCAATGTTCTGTATTATCCAACACAGTATGCCTCCTTCCTGGATCCACAGATGTTTCAATACATTGCAATGTTTTGGTGCTAAATTCATAAATGCAGTAATTACTACATAATGTTATCATGTATTGAACTGTTTTTTCTACCAATGTGTTGTAAAACATGATGTTTTGGTGCTTAATTTGTAAAATCATAACATTATTTGATATTTAATAAGCTTTTCCTTAGTCCCACCTTATTAGCCAACATTTTCACTTATCCAACATTCTGCTGGCCCGTTTATTTTGGATAAGCAAGACTCTACTGTACCAGGAATGGAGAAGGTATTTACTATTTAGATATCTAACTTGTCAGCGGAAACATCAGAAAACCAATAATATAATTTGAAGACAACAATGATTCCCCGCTTTTCCTATAAAAAAAATCTGAATAGAATGTCCCCCTGAACAGCCAAGACAACAAGGTCCAGCCACACTTCCCCACATCCTCCATGTTGCCCAATAATTTCAATATACTAAGATCCCAATGGAATTGTTCTCAAATCTTGGCTTCATACAGGCAAACGATCCACGTGAATTTTTATCATTGACAATTTATACATTTATCCAAATATCCATGTCCAAGAGTGGCATAGCGCTTTAGGTGATGGGTTAGAACTAGGGTTGAATCCCTTCTTTGTCATGGAAATACACAGAATGACCTTAGGCAAGACACATACACTTAGTCTCATAAAAAAGCAACAACTCCCTTCTGATCAAATCGTATATTGCCTTGGGATCAATATAAATCAGAAATTAGTTGGAGGCATATGACAGCAGCAACATTCCATGTGCAAGGGTATAAGGGACTAAGAAAGAGCATTACCAATAAGACCAATGTTTCTGATAATTGCATAAAACCATCAGCTGGGATTTGTGCATATTTCATAGCCATCTGTGGTATTGCCAATGTCCTGTCGTTTGCAAAGAGCTATTTCAGTAAACAATGCCAATTACATAGACTGAACCGTTCAGCACTTGGTCAGGTATTCAAGAGAATTTCAAAGTTTTATTATGCATTTTTCTCCTCAAGTGCCCTTGGATGAAGGAAAAAGTCAGTCTAATATACATGTCTCAAAGAGGAGTGTGCCCTGGGAGAGTGAAAATGGATTGATGTGGCAAAGAACTACATTTGGAGAGATGGGGCACTGTACAAAGCAAAGCAGCCACTCCTTTGCTCCAGTGCATTAAAAAAAGTCAGTGATATGTGCATGGAAATGGAATAACTGCTCATAGCTTTTATGTATTTGTGGAATTACTGGAGTTTGGTTTAACACTCACAGCAGGAGTTTTAATTATGCCAAGTATCTCAAATGCATAGGTATTCCATCGACAATTTAAGGTATGAAAACATAAGCTGGATCTCATATTATTTCCTGACCAGGAAAAAAAGAGACATGCAAATATATACATCCATTTTCTTATTCCTACTCTATCTGCTACACAAGGCTTACATTTCAACATAGGGATATGCAACTCAGCAAAAGAAGTGCCATTTTTGGTCCCATTTTCAGTTGCCCCACTGTTACGTTTACCAGGAAAGTCTCAAAATTAGGAGGGAGGTGCCTTTTTCGGTCTGGTAAGATTCAGTCCATTGGCAGCAATGGGGAAAAATTTGGGGCTCGTATCACTGTCATTTTTAGGCCTATTCAGATGAAATTTGCATTACTGATAGACCACATTGATGACTGCAAGCCTGTCAAGTTTCAGAACATTTCACCAATCCACTTATTTTGGGGAATTTTTTAATAGTTTTTACCATAACATTTTTTTTAAAAAAAACCCACAAAAAGGGGGGGGGGGGAATTGAAGTCCAAACCAGCATGTGCCACAAGATGGATGGAGAATGGACACAGTCAACCAGGCCTCTGATTGGCTTAGAAAGAAATGTGAGAAACAGAGAGAGAAATCTCAACTTCCATCATGCACCAAGAGGAAGCGCAGAGGATCCTTCAATGCCCTTGCCACGCAAAGTGTAGCTGGGAAAGCATGTTCTCAGTGAGGCCCTCTCTAGTGGAGAGGCCTTGGGAAGCCTTTCCCACCTTATTTGCCTCAAGTGGGTCCTCCACCAAGGGGGGGGGGGCTTCTGGAAGGTTGGGAGGAGGCTGCCAGGGAAGAAAGAAAATGAGGAGTTACCAGGTGCCTGCTCTTGCCTGATTTTCAAGGCAGCCCATACGCCATGGCCTCCACCTAAGTTAGAATGCCACTCAGCCCCATCACCCCCTTTAGCCAAAAGATCCAGCTCCTCAAGGTCCATTTTGGCTGGACCCTCAGCTGGGTCCTGCAAAATCCATTTTCGGTGGAGCGGCTGCTCGATCACCTAATTTTCCTAAATCCAGAATTGCCAAATGGAATCATGTATTTCAACACACTGCCTTTTTTTAAATATATTTTAACATATCAAATATTAACCTGCTAACATATACTATAATAAAAAATAAATCATAAAAAATCAAAGACCTAAGAAAGAATAATCATTAAACTACCCCAGTCCCCCAACAACCCTACACTAGTAAAGAGATTAAAAATGGAACTCCCATCCCTCAAACTAAAGAATCATTGTAAAACAACAGATTTCTCATTTCTACTTAACTAAAGTTTAAACTTCTACTTTAGTCAAATAATAATAATAGAAAACAACTTTCAACTTCCGCAAGACTTGTCAGGCCTTCTTTCTTCTTTATAAAGGATAAAAATGGTTCACAATCTTCTAAAACATTGTCTAATGACTTTTCTATAATCAGAACACACAATTTGGCCATTTCAGTCATTACAAAATTCATTTAAATCCATTATTCTTTTGGTGGAAAATCAGTATTCATACATTTTGGGATATATTGCAGTCTCACTGCCAAAATCCAATAATAAAACACCTTATAGTTCACCGCTTTAATTTGCTCATTCGGTAGTTCTAATAAAACTAATTCTGGTTTCAGGTGACTTTTGATTTGAAAAATGTCTTACATCAACGTCTGTATCCATTTCCAATATTTCATAGCATTTTCACAAGTTCACTACACATGGTAAATAGTACCTTCTTGAGCTTTGCATTTCCAATATACATTATTGCCCTCTAATGTATTGCCCTACTGAATGATCTCTCATTTAATAAAAGTTATCTTTAAATCAAAAGACAATATATCTTTGAATCCATTACCCAACTTTTCCCCACAATGCTTCATCTGTATATTATAACCAAAATTTGTTGCACATTTAACAATACATTCTTTAATTTCTTCTTTCAGTTCAACATTTTATACATTTTTCCAACAAGGTGTTCGATATCTGTATACAATTTGATAACATATTCAGTTTTCTCTTTTCCAAAGCAAAGAGTTCTAATTTAAATCTTTCCAACAACTCTTTATATCAATAACAACGAAGGTGCCTTCCCTTGTTAATTAATCTTGTTTTATACATCTGCTGGGTTTTTTAATTTCGCTTATTTTGTCAAAAATGTTTTTTGGTATTTTAGCAACAATATTGTGGCATAGTAAGGTGGAGGTTAGTAAGGGGAGGGCGGTGACACTGCATGACACCAACTATAGTGATGCCGCTAATATTAGGATTATAGCATTTGTCACATTTTAAAAAAATATTGTTTACATCAGAAACAAAAACTATTGATGTTTCACCCAAAGCATTCCCAGAAACAATTGTGGGAAGCAAAACTGGACAGTGTAGCAATCTTTTACATCCAGAAATGAATCAATAGAAAAAATATTTTAAATACAGGAATGAATTGGGATATACTCAAAAGCAAGTGCCACTGTTCAAACACCCTCATTATGTCACATTTCTGTTCATACTGAAAAGCTCTGCAGAGCAAACCATACAAAATATTCTTTGTTGAGGATGGTGCAGAACTCTCCCTTTTCCTGCCCCCCACCCCCCAAAAAAGACTTTTGGGCTACTGAGATATTTTTAAAAACATACTCTAACTCACAAAAAGAAAAAGAAAGGTATTTGATAAACGTGAGTATTGTTTGTGTAGCTTGGTTAATTTGTCATCCTTTCAGGATAAGGTTTAAACATTTATGGAGCTGATGGGGAATAGATAATAAATAGCCTCCATATTCATAACATACCAATTTCAGCGTCCCCACTTTTTAAAAAGGTATCTCTGCAGAGCAGCTTTAGAATCCACCCTTAAGCTGCTACTGAAAAAATGAAATCCTTGAACAAAAACAGCCTTTTAGATAACAGGGGTTTATTTTCATCCTTAAATTCCTTGTAAGATGAGACTTTTATCACACGTGTTTACATCAAGGCATAACAAGGTCTGAAAATAAAGCCCCTGCCCCAAGGTCGAAACACACACAAAGGGAAGGAAAGTTCTAAGGAACTAACAAAAAAAGTGAATCTCATGAATTTCTATGGATTTGCACCTGAGACAGCATTGTTTTCAGTTGCTTATATGATTTCAGAAGTATGTAAATGGTTGTTTGCACAGGCAGACAACTGCAGGTAAAATTGTTGAAAAGACTTCAGACTCTTTTAGTTTGGTTACGATATGACGAACAAGCCTGGTGCTAGAATAGTGCCGCTTTTAGCATTGATTCCAATTTGTCTGTAACATGGTATCCAAAGTCTTTGTGAGCTTACCATCTAGCAAAGTAATTCCTGTCTTCTTCATTCAAGATGGGATACGTGTCAAGAGAGCCACAAAAAGGACAATTCTGTGTTTTGAAATGTTAGCTATCCTCCAGGATTCCCTGTAAAGGAAACAAATAAACCACATGAATTCAGCAGAAGTAAAACAGACACAGAAAGAAATGATAATCTGAGTGAATAAAATCACAATCTGAAGACTAAAACATAGCGACAGCATCAAAGGTAGATCAAGTCTCTCTAATAACAGACCCCTTGAAGCATGGACTTGTTTGCTTTTACTAATTCATATACACATACACAGTTCCTTAAATGTGAGAAATCTGAAGAAGATATATGAAGACTCTCCAATAAAAGATATATCATGACTCTCCAATAATTGCAAACTCCTTGGGGGAAAAACTTGATTTCTTTTACGCATTCATTTACACATATACCATTTCTAATATTTGAGAATTCTGCAGCGGGGTGTCAAAGTAAATAAATACAATCCATGGAGGAAAACAAGGAATGGAAACAATTATTTTGATTGGAAAAGGCCATTTGGATTATCTTTGAGAGAATAACTCTTCACCACCCATATGTAATAACCTCTCTTCCACATATACTATTGAAGAACAAAAGTGCAAGATCAAAAATATCAGAATAGCATGAACTCAATATCTTTGGGCTTGGACTTATCATGGAAATGTGATCCCTAATGAAATGAATGACTCTTGATAAAAGGATACTATAGAATCATACTGGATTTTTTAAAGGCTAGAAGCCCAAGGAAGCCCTGGCCTGTGAGCGCTCCAGCTGGAGGTCAGTTGTGACCAGCAGTGCTGCAGAATTTGAAGAGGCACGAATGGAGGGCGAAAGAGAGAAACGTCCCAAGAGGAAAGCATATCAAGCCAACCTCGACTAGGACCACCTTCCACCTGGAAACCAATGCCCTCACTGCGGGAGACGATGCAGATCAAGAATAGGGCTCCAGAGTCACCTACAGACCCACCCTGGAGGATTACCCTACTCAGACAACGAGGGATCGCCTAAGTAAGTAAGTTTAAAGGTTAGAGATAATACTTCTCCAGCAATTGTAGATCCATTTCTACAGGACCAGAGAGAACTTTTTGTGGACACAGGTAAGTGAAATCATGGGTAGTGCTCTCATGGACATGGGGGTCATACTGTACATAGAAGAGTAAAGTTCTTGCTGCTAGCAACTCAACTTTAGTACAAACATTTCCTAAGGTTTAGTTGCTGGCAGCAAGAACTTTACTCTGGGGAAAAACATAAACAAATGTTATTTTGAACTGCAGAAGAGTAAATTTGACTCCTGGGCATCAGCTCCCCATTCCTGGGATAGATGGTTTGGTCCATTGACTTTGATTCTTTCTTTCTTTCTTTCTTTACTATATTAACATACCACCTACCTAACTCATGGTGTTCATGTGTAGACATATATTTTAAACCTAAAGCTAAATAATCTCCACTCTCAAACTGTTAGGCAAGCTGGCTCAGTCAGTTAAAATTAAGAAAAAGTGAGAATTGTGCTTAGTTTATGTATTTTTTTTTAAACAAGGCCTTCTCCAAATTCTTCATAAATATGATGGTGAACACTCGAGGTTAAAAAAGATGTGGAAAGAAAGCAAAACAGGCATACTTCTACTTCAAAGCTGAATGCTTTAGGGGCTTGGCTTTTATTCTATACATATCAAACCAGGTTACTAGTGAATTAGGAGCATCACCTCTTATTTTTTTCCCCTCTAAGAGGCATCTTATTTGAAACAGTTATAGAATGAACAGGTAGAAGTAATGACAGGTGAGTTGAACATCATCTACCCGTGGGCAGGTTACGTGCCCTCATCTCCTCCATCTTTCTCATAAAGCTCTTTTAAGATATTTTTTCACACTAGTGAGAAACATCTATTTATGTTTTATTGACTATTCTAAAGCCTTTGACTGTGTGGATCATAATAAATTGTGGCAAGTTCTTGGTGGTATGGGCATACCAAATCACCTTGTCTCTCTCCTGAGGAATCTGTATAAGGACCAAGTAGCAACAGTAAGGACTGACCATGGAACGACAGACTGGTTCAAGATTGGGAAAGGAGTACGTCAGGGCTGCATACTCTCACCCAACCTATTCAACTTGTATGTGGGGCTTGACAAATGCAAGGCTGGAGTAAAAACTGCTGGAAGAAACATTAACAACCTTAGATATGCAGATGATACCACTTTGATGGCCGAAAGCATGGAGGAGCTGATGAGCCTTCTAATCAAGGTGAAAGATTGCAGATTTCACTATTCATGGATTTGTTTAAAATGTTATCTTTAGGATCCTCTAGGTCCTTCAGTGTGATTAAATGACCAATTTCTTCTACTCATGCTGGAGGACCCATAAATGGAGGACCGACACTGGAGACCTACACTGATGTGTTCTCAAGTAAAAAAAAAAAGATTTTTTTCACCATCAAGTGGATCCTTTGTCCCTAAAGCTAGTCATGCAATATTTTTACAAACACATATCTAAATATCTCCAGCCATTTCAAAGGCAAGGGAACTTTTAAACAAAGGCTGGATGGCCATCTGTCAGGGGTGCTTTGAATGCAATTTCCTGCATTTTGGCAAGAGGTTGGACTGGATGTCCCACAAGGTCTCTTCCAACTCTATGATTCTGTGATTCTACGATTCTATGAACCCTCATGGCCACAGTTTCAGTTGACTGAAGGGAATCTGGTGTCATAAGGATCTGCACTTCAGAATGGGGAAAATCCAGAGTCAGCAGATTCCATGGTGGATTTTGTCAACATCTCTAGTTACTAGGTATATAAATCATCAACAATTTCACTCTCACCTTTGAGAATGAATGGAGGTCAGCTGTTACTAATGGAGTATGGATTTTGAGGAATCACATATAGAACTGAGAAACATGCCAAGAGAAAAGGTGTAAAAACCCTTCTCGGGACCTCCTTCCATCTGGAAACCTATGTCCTCATTGTGAAAGACTATACAGACTAAGAACTGATCACTACTGTCACTTACAGACCCATCATCAAGACTCTACCCTAAAAGACAATCATACTCAGTCACGAGGGATCACCTATAGACTGAATTTCTCAGTACTCAAACATACTGAGTAGAAATTATTCTGCAGAGAAATTTTGCTTTTGTGTATGTGTGTACAAAACAACATTAAAAACAGTAACTGAGTGTTTTTTTAATAGAATGCAGTTTTCCAGCATAGGCTATCCTCATATTCTGTGTAGAAAACAGGTTTTTCTGGGCAAAAAACAAAACAAACTAACAACTTTAAAAATCTGCAGACAATTCCTATGTATTGCTTAAGAGTAACAAGAAAGAAACTTTGCAAAATTCTTGCTGATCTATTTTTCTTTCTGACAGAATTTTCCATCTCTAAGATTTTTTTTACTTTGGTTGAATAATTATGATATAGTTGATCCTCTGTATCCACAGATTTTATATCCATTCATTCAAGCAGCCATAGCTTAAACTAATCCAGAAGGCAAACCTTGATTTTAAGATTTTATATAAGAAACATCATTTTCCGACACCATTGTATATAATGGGAGTTGAGAATCCATACATTTTGATATACGTGGCTTCCTGGAACCAAGTGGATACTAAAATTCCACTTTATTAATTTCACTCTGCTAAATACAACATCTTCTGCTAACCTAGCAGCTCGAAAACATGTAAATGTGTGTAGATCAATAGGTACCGCTCTAGCAGCAAAGTAACAGTGCTCCATTCAGTCATGCTAGCCACATGACCTTGGAGGTGTCTACGGACAGCACTGGCTCTTCGGTTTAGAAATGGAGATGAGCACCAACCCCCAGAGTTGGACACAACTGGACTTAATGTCAGGGGAAAACCTTTATCTAAATACAACATGCAATTTTGTTGTTTTGAGATGTATAACATTATACAGTTTTTGTGTGAGGCCATCCTGAGTCCCCCTTCGGGAGGAGAAGAGCGGGGTAGAAATGCATGAAATAAATAAATAAATAAAAATGTTGTTCATCTTGTTTGATTAAGATAATATCTCAATTTTCTTCATTAGTGGAATGGAAAAAACTTTAATTTAAAATATTGGATGTAGGAAAAGTAAAATTGACATACTGGATTCCTAGTAAAAATGTACATGAACTTAAAAAACAAAACAAAACATGTTACCTCATATGATGTTTTTCAGTTCTATCTCATTCAGGTTTTCTTAGCCTTTCTCTATTTCTGAGTAGAGTATATGTTTTCTTGTTATCAGTGCATTCCTTTTTTACTCCCACTAACATACAAATCCTACAACTCGATTTCACAGCGTTCCTGCAACTCCATCCCAATATCATTAATTAGAATCCCTCCTCTGAATGCACTTGCCAAAGCTTTAATCAACAATCATTCTTTTTGAGAATCTTTCGTCCTAGTGTGTATTTTAGCAGCACAGGGGGAGGAGATCTTGAAATATAGAAATTGCTCTGAATTATAATTGCCATCCATTAGCTTCTCTGTTTCAGCAACCTAAAGCCTTTTGTATCTGACTGCACAGTTTCTCATTAAGCAAGTCTCTCTCTCTTCGATATATGCAAATAGATGAAATTTTCACTCCCTCATAAGCCAATTAATTCATAGGAGGAATAATAAATAGAGTCATCACAGAAGAGCACACATACTAGTGGTCTTCATTGCTATGTGACAGTAAGTGTGCATGATGTACTTGCTTTGTCCTTGTTCAATGATTCACCAGTGGCCACTTTGCCAACTGTGTCATTGCTGAATTTGCTTGCCTTCTAACATAAATGTTGTCAGAGGGTTTATTTCAGGGATATGCAGACCTCCTGAGAAACTTTGATAGTCTCATCAAAGCTATGTTTTCACCCTTGAAATTCTTCACATTGAAATCATCCTTGATCCAGGACTTATGCTGATGAGCATGCTAACCTGTATAATAGAGATCTATTTGGATGAAGCTGTGTGTTAATGTCACCCAGATATATCCACCGCGTTTGCAGAAAGATGGAGTTACAGTCATGGTGAAGGATTTATATTTCCTTCACCAGTTGTCCTATCTGAAATCTACTGGATTTGAGAGGGTGTCCTTGAA